AGGGTTTACTGATTTAGGGTTTATCCTTAATTTTGTGCGTTATTTGAAACTTGGTGTTTAGGAGATGAATATTTCTTCTGGGAGGGGGAGCTCAAGCCCTTGTAGTTCATTTTGATCCAGAAGTGAAAGAAGGAGAGTTGTTCCATTGTTCAAATGCGCAGGAGGCACAATGTTGTTTACACCTCCAAGACCATTAGAAACCCAAAAAGAGCATTTTTTGGGTGCCCCAATTTCAAGGTGGGGTGAATGACCACAAAAAGAAGATTAATGAGCACAATGTAAAGATTTATGAACTATCAGTGAAGATGCAGGCAGAGTTTGAAAGGGTGGAGAAGGAAATTAAGCATGTGTGTAGGTGTGCTAGGGTGTTTGCTGAATCATTATTGTTGTGTTTGTAATATGTATATATCTTGCAAGTAGGGTGAAGTGAAATAAAAAATGTGGTTCTATTGAGATTTGCTGGTGTATGTACCATTACATGTTGTAACAATTTTGGAATGTAAAGATTTGTAATGGAAGGACCAGTGTTGAAATATAATGAATTGTTGTTCGTGCAATGTATATAGCTTGGCTTATGTATTTGAAGTTATGTTAAGAGGCATACAAAGTGTTGTATAAACTTGATGCAGATAAAAAAAAATTGGAAACAATGTATGAACACTAAAGTAAGAATGTGATGGTGTGAATTATACAGAAGTTAATCGTGTTAGTTATAATTGATATCAGCATGAATAAGGGGAAATGACATTGCTGGTCTGTTAATAAAATGTACATTCTTGTTAACAGAACTTTAGCAGGGACTGAAAAGGGCCCTCGATAAAATTGTTAGGGACCATAATGGACCTATGAGTTACAAAATAAGGACTAAAAAAATCCTCGATAGAAAATGTTGAGGGTTGATGGTTTACTAATGCAGTGAAACTACACATGACCCATAAAAGGACACAGCAAACAGAACAAAAATACCATTGTTGACAGAAACCAGAAAGTGTATCAGCAGACAACAAAATTTAAAAATTGCACCATTGAATACATTAATGACAGCAAAGACAGATAGAAAGAAAACATTTTGCATTCATTTCATCACATCCTAGTTACAATTACTAACCATGGCCAACATGCCACAGTCATACAAAAAAAATTCCACTGACATATTTCCATGAAGGCCACTACATATGTGTTCCAAAAAAGCATAATGCTCCTACTAACTATGGCCATAACAAAAGGCATACAAAAATGACCTAATGACATATTTCAACAGGACCAATACCGAAATATTTCCAAAAAATACCCTAATTACAATTCCAATTCCAATCAATTCCTATATCAGAGGCATCTAAAAAATGACCTAATGTCAATGATTACACAGTATTCCAATCAATTTTGTGGGGCTGGTCTTGGTGGCTTGAACCCTGGTGTAGACATGAAGCTCATGAATCTGGCCCTAGTGCCACTACTTGCTGTAGTTACTGTCTCATTGCTCACCCAACAAAAATACCTCACCTTGAAAATGAGGCACCTAAAAAATGCTCTATTTGGGTTTCTAATGGTCTTGGAGGTGTAAACAACATTGTGCCTCCCACATTTGAACAATGGAACAACTCTCATTCTTTCACTTCTGGACCGAAATGAACTACAAGGGCTTGAACTCCTCCTCCCAGAAGAAATATTCATCTCCTAAACACCAAGTTTCAAATAACGCACAAAATTAAGGATAAACCCTAAATCAGTAAGCCCTAAATCAGTAATCCCCAAACCCTAAACGTTCAATCTTCGATTTAATCCCCTTTTTTCTGGTTTAAGAAGAACCCTAAAGCATACGACGATGTTCTTTTGATGAAATTGAGAGGGAAGGAGAACTGAACGTTCAATTTGTTTCTTCAATTGAGAGGGAAAGAGAACTGAACAGCAACATGGAAGCAAGTTTCTTCAGACGACGTCGTTTCCCCTCCAACGTGGCAGTGACCTTTCCTATTAACGTTACACATCAGCTCCGTCAATGACGCCGTGTGTTTTGGATTAACAGAAGGACTAACGTGGGACCTAATTGTGTTTGTTGGGGACTTTCCAACTAATTTATTTTTGTTAGGGACTAAAATGGGTACCGAGTTTATTGTCAGGGACCAATTTGGGTATTTACTCTTTATTTTATTTGTTTAATAAAACGATATTGTTTCATGAATTTTTTTTTAAAATAAAAACATCCAATGACCCCCTTTGACCCCTCTGACCCGGGAGTCACGAAAACCCGGCTGAGTTTTGGGGGTCGGAGGGATCTATATGCATATAAGGTCCAACTTATGACCCCAACTCTTAGAGGGAAGGGGTCAGGGTTGACTCGGGTCAACCCGAGAGGCGGGGTGAGGTTTTAAAACGTTGATTTGACTACATGATCTATGAGTGATCTAAAATTATTTGATTTGTTTAAAAAAGAAATATTTGATAGGGGTCATTATTGAGTTGATCATCTATTATTGGTCCGAAACAAGATGATTTTAAACTTTTTAAACTATTTTATCTAAAAAACAATTATTACAATTATTTGTTGGGCACTTTTTTTTAAATTTTTTTACATATTTCACATGATTAATATTATAAATTAGAGTAAAGATATGTCAAAATTTTAATATGACTAATTATAATCAAATGATGAAATTTGTATACGTATAAGATGATATGAATGACAGTTTATATGGATAACATTTCTCTATTAATAATAATGAATCAAAATTAAAGCTGCTAACTTAATTCTCTTAATAAGATTAAAAAAGTCTTCTCACACTTTTTACATGTGCAAGTAATCTGGCATAAATGCTGGCTTAGGCACAAGATTTTTTATTTTGTTTTATTTTTAAAGGGGAAGGATACTGTGACAACCAAGTTGTGTTACTACCAAGTGACTATCAATTAATCTCACCGTTAGATCGATTATGTTGATCCAACGGTTATATTTATTTCCATCTTTGTATGGTTATGATTTCTCATATTTAAAGTGAAAGTATTAAATATGGGAAATCATAACCATACAAAGGTGGAAATAAATATAAAGTATTAAATTTCGGGAACCATGACCATACAAAGATGAAAATAAATATAACCGTTGGATCAACATAATCGATCTAACGGTGAGATTAATTGGTAGTCACTTGATAGTAACACAACTTGGTTGTCACAATATCTTTCCCCATTTTTAAATTCCATATTTATGTACTAGTAGTTGAATTCAACCATAGAAAGGTCATTTGCCAAATCAGCCACAGCTTTTTGTTGACTACCTTAATTTTAGCCAAGAGCCTCTAACACTCTTTTGGTCCACCACCAGACAAACATGCATAGATATTTGGAATTCAAATATTGTGTTTCATTTTTAAACTAATTTTGTAACCGTGAAGTGCATGGCATTAGTGAATAGACAGCGTAAATCTTATTATTATTATTATTATTAGAAGCATCCTTAAAATATATATTGAATTAAATAATCGTATTTTCATACTTTTACTTATTAATGCACGTTATTGACCTATAAATTTAATGTACCAATAATATCAATTTATGTATTTTTTTTTGTTATAATACGGGTTGTATGTAATTTTATAAGTATATTTATTCAATTTTAAAATTACTGAAGAGTTGTATATATTAATTGAGTCAATAATATTATTATAAGCAATAAATAATTATATTAAAATTAAAGGAAAAATTATTATAGGAATTAGTTTTGGAAAGAACCCAATAAATATAATGATGTCACATGACATGAGACTCAGTGTTAAAAATCTTTTGTATAATACTAATATTATATTATATATTCAATATTAAATTACATATTAGATGTTAAAAATTTAGGATATTAAATTAATAATTAGAGAGAAGTTACAAGGAAAAAAAATTAGATTCAAGATAAATGCGGTAAAAAAATAAAATTATAATAAAATAGTTGCATTCTAATTTTATTATACAAAGTAATATATGACGTGTAATAAATATAATTCAAGCCAACTACTAAAAAAAATACTATTCAAGTCTTACTTCAACGTGCGGACAATCAAACGGCTGCTAATGAAAAGATCACCAACCATCGGACACCAACCTAAATGTAAATTGACTCTTCTTGTTAGCTTCACACTGTATCAAATGGATTTTCTCGTGTCACAATAACGCGTGTACATTTTATTAAAATCTTGTTGGTATCGATTTGGGAAAAATTAATATTAGAAGAATTCATTTAAAATTAATAATGTTTTTTTTATATATTATGTGTGTAATTCTAATTTCATTAATATTCCGAATCATGATTTCTTCTCTCTTTACCTATCAAAAGTTCGTATACAATGCTGCATAATATGGGAAATTTTTTTTAACTATGGTTAAGTTACTGTAAACTAATTATATCTTGACTAGTTTATATTTTTGATTTAATTAAAGACAAAAAAAAGGCTTTCTATTTGCTATTTTAAATTACATAAGTTATATCATTTTAAGAGAGAGATAAACACAGAAAATAAAAATTATGGAAGAAAGAAAGTGATTGGTTTTTTTTAAATTTAAAATTTAAATAAAAAAATTTATTTTGTGTCTATCTTTCTCTTAAAATAACATAATTTTATATCATTTAAAATAACATACCATCTTCCAAAAACATAAAATATTCATTATGATATAACCGTAAGTACTTGACGTAACTAACATGCGTTTGTCAGCAATCATGCCGATTAATTTACGAATCTATTTTGACACAGTATAATAAGTTAACTACCCTATAAATTTAGCACGTGAATCCCTTTTTTAGAAGCGCGAAATGTCTAAGATGTTTCGCAGCCAGATCAATAAACTCTGAAAATCAAAAGGTTTGAACGTAACGGAATTTTCATACATAGGGAGACAGCCAGAGTTGACTTGACTTTAATCATTTGATTAGCCCCTTATAAAAACACACACTCTGAGACTTAAAGCAAATACCAATACATCAACTTTTTTTTTTCGTTGTTGCCATTGAAGCTATGGACTCGTTAAGTTCAAGCATCACCACCGTTCATTCTGATATTATTCAGACTCACATCCTCACTCGTCTCGATGCCGCAACGCTTGCCTCCACCGCCTCTGTATCCTCTCACCTCCGCCATCTTTGCACCGACGAGGATCTCTGGCGAGACATCTGTATCGTCACGTGGCCTTCCCTGTTGAACCCCATTGCCGGCCAAGTCATCTCCACATTTTCCGGCGGCCACCGTTCCATTTTCTCCGACGCTTTCCCTTCCCTTCACTATTTCTCTTCCCATTCAAAACATCCTCACCGTCCGTCCCCTCCTCCGTCTGAATTAATCTCAGCCGTCGATATATACTATCAAGGAAAGTCCGTTTTTTCGAGAGTCCAACGTACGGAGACACAGAAGAACTGGTTTCTCTCGTCGCCGTTATGGTTGAACGTGGTTGAACCTAACGAGTTGGTCCCTACGCCGGTTAAGTTCGTTAGGAAAGACGACGAGTGGCTGAAACACTTGGAAGAGAACTTGAGTTTGAGCTGGGTCGTCATCGACCCGACCCGGAAGCGCGCGGCGAATCTCTCCAGCCGGAGGGCGGTTTCTGTGCAGCGACACTGGCTGACGAGGGAGCTGGAGGTTCTTTATGCGGTGGTTATGGCGGGGGAGCAGCAACGGTCGACGGAGCTGGTGCAGTGCGTGGTGAAAGTCACGTGCTGCGGGAAGGTTGGGGGGGAGTTGCACGTGAAGGAGGTGAACCTTGTGATGGAGGATATGGAGGGAAGACACGTGACAGGGAGGGAGGGTGTGGCGATTCTGCAGAGGGCAATGGAGAATGGGGAGAGGAAGAAAGTGGATGGGGTGAAAGCTAAGGAGAGTTTTGAGAAGTTCGCGTGCATAATGAAGGAGAGGAGAGAGACCAAGCATCGGAGAGAGAAGGCACGTGATGTTATTTCTACGCTGCTTGCATTCATTGCTTTCCTCTTGTTTTGCTTCCTTGCTGGTCTTTGAGCTTTTACAATTTTAAGTTTTCAAAGACACAAAGATACTGTTCAATTACTTTATATACTTCATTATTAATTCCAATTTGTTCGTTCATTCATATTTTTGTAACTACCAAGTTCATGTTGTGAACCGGCCGAATGACTTTGTCCCATTAGAGTAAATGATTATCCTACGGCAAGGCCTCACACTTAATACATGAAGAGTATTGGGTAAGAAATTTCATAAAGTGGATTATATGACATTAGAACACCAAAAGATTTAGACTTACTTGTTGAAAACATGGTTTTTGATTTCTTGAAGACTTCTTGTTTACTCTGATACTCCTCTAATGGAAAGACTAGGATCTTTCTCTGCAATTCACACCACTCCTTGATCACAACGATGGGACGAGTTGTGGAGTGACGGTTTCCATACACTCTGTGAATGAAGAGGGGACCTAGACAAACTTATTAACCCGTCCCCTTCCCATCCTGGGCCTATGGGTTAGGCCTACACTGTTATCCACACTAATCAGTTTACAGATATCCAAACCCAAATCGAAAGGATCACTAATTAACTGGTCTTTATACTGCACCCCTATATGGATCATGACTTAGTCCGTTTTTATTAAAATAAGAAAAGCTACAATTGATTGAAGCCCACAATTATTATAAAAGTTTCTAACATTTCCCACTTGGGCAAAATCAATTGTAAAATTTTAATTTAAAAGAGAAAAGGAAAACAAGTTATTTGAAAACGACTCTCGGACTAAAGACTAATTCTTATAATGTGGCCACATTATAAGAAAACACATGATCCAAGGTGCGATATCTGAATATGACTCTATCCAACTAAAATCAAATAACATTGAATTATGCGGTGATTGTACCTTTACCGATATAAGACCTTTCATGGTCACAAATGTTACTTGACTTCGTCGACTAGTCATTAGTGTGGAGTGTAGCAAGAAAATAGCACGCATGCCAATATGATCCAACAACAACCAAACTGTTATTTCCTCTGTCAGTCCTCAAATTTCTCTCAGATGCCTTAAAGCTAGAGAAATTCCATGGTTTATCAAAAAACCATCATATAATCAAATATGGTGCCGCCTACGGGTCCTGTCGTCCTAACAACACCATTATGTCTCAAACTCTGATATAGTATCAACCACAGACATGATGATTCCAATGACATTGAGTTCCAAAATCATGCCTCAAACTCCAATATAGTGTCAACCACAGGCATGGTGGTTCCAACGACACTGAGTTCCAAAATCTTATTATCATGCCTCAAACTCCAATATACTGTCAACCACAGGCATGATGGTCCCAATGACACTGAGTTCCAAAATATCTCACAATTGATAAACATAGATACATATGTTCAATTTATGCAATAATAAAACTCAAATCCTTATCAATTGTTCAAAATAAAATTTATCTGTTAAATAAACATCAATTATATCTAAAATAAATTGTTCAACATGACAAGAAAAAAAATAAATGATTCAAACTCCCACTAATCAACTAAATCAAAGGAATTCACAATGATATTCTTCACATGTATTTATCATGATGGGCCTAAATCTTTTGGTTAGAGAATCAGTCAATATTCTCAACAACTAAGTCATTCACATACAATACAAGAAAAGGAATTTTTCTCCCACCGACCTTATGATAAATATACTAACAGAAATTATTTTCATCATAGCTCAAGAAAACCACTATCTCATCAGATCACCATTAATGTAAAATAAAATCCATGTTGATTTAAAAAAGGATATAGAATTCAAAATCTTTCTCAAAGAGGCTTTATAGAAAATTTATTTCAAAATAAACTCATATCCTGACATTAAAAACTAAGCAATTATCTCCCACTGACTCGACAATAACTTCAAGATCACACAAAATTAATCATATCTCTCCCACTAAAAAAAAAGATGTCAAGTATGTTCTCTATATTAATTATAGGCTAACACACAATGCCCTATCAAGATTAAAATTCATAAAAAAATAAAATAAAAATCTAGATCTCATCTCCATTATTCATAATTCAATCCAATCAACAATTTCATTATGGCATTGTTATCGTTTATATCAAAAATATATTTATTACATAAATGCAATTATATTAATTATGGGTAGTGAAGTAATTTTAACGAAATAATTAGCTTATTATAAACTCTCATTTGGACAGAGTACATACTACATAATTATTTCACATTATTTGAAATTTTAACTCAATGCAAATTTTAAAATTAATGCATACAATAACTTTCTTTGGGCAGATAATTGCAAACAATAATTTTTATTAATAAAGAACCCTGGCGATTTACAAATAAAATTCTGAATAATCATACTTAAATAATATCAAACTATAATTTGTATCATAAATTTCAATCCCCAATATCAACAATTATATATCTTAGCTCACTAATCAAACTTAATTGACAAAGCACATAAAATCTACGCTAAAATTTGGAGAGTAAATACTAACATTATAATCATGATAATATGTAACAATTTTTCATTAATTAAAATTTTGAAAAAGGAACATAAATATTTATTACAAAATTAAATATGAATGAGAGCTCACAAAATTAAATACGAATGAAAGCAAATAATTCCAAATAAACATTTATAAAAAATTAAAATAAATATTTCAAAATATTAATTCAAAATGAATCAAACATTAGGGGTGTTCATCAACCGATCCAAACCAATTCAAACCGCGGTGACCGAACCGAAAAATCGATAACCGAATAAGCCGAAAAACGAAAAAAAATCGCGAGTTTTAATTGGATTGGATCGGTTTTCGGATGGGTTAATGAAAACAAATCCAATCCAAACTGATCCAATATATTAATTCCCCTCTACCTACTTGGGTTTTTCCCTAATCATAGCCTAAAAATTTCTAAACCCAAGACTCATTAACCCATCAACTAAACCCAAGAAAAAATCTAGTCACGTCTCATCAACAAAATTTTATCTTTGTAGAGCTTCATATCTCATTGCCCAAAAAAATAAAAACTATATTATAGTTTACTAATGCTTTTGTATTTCAAAATTTTTTTTCTTACAAAACCAATATATACAAAAAGATGTTATTTGTATAATAATCATGAAATAAATTTTAGGATTTTCAAAAAATCGAAAACCGATCCAATCCAAACCGAAAATAATTGGATCGGATTTGAAAAAAAAAATCCAAACCGAATGGATGATTATATGATCAAACCAAAGGGATTTGATCGAATGATTTTTTCTTCCAAAACCGATCCAATTCAGACCGCGAACACCCCTATCAAACATAGAAGTTCATTATTAAGGCAAAACAGGAATGCATCAGAGCAAATTAATATACACCTGTAATTAAATCAAGATATTATAATGAGGCCAACATAATAACACATTTTCCTTTGGACAGAACGCACTAACCAAGGTTGAATCAAGGCCAGAACCTCAAATGAGTTAATCAATGAGCACAACACTGAGTTTGAAAATCTATCCCTTTTGGGCAGATAGATTCCTAGACCAATGAGCCTACAATAACTTTATTTACAATCTTAAGAAGAAGTTGCTATGATGAGTTAATCATTTAGAACAACAGATTGTCGACATAACAAGGCCAACATAATAGTACATTCTCCTTTGGGCAGAATGCACAAACCAAGGTCAGAACCTCAGATGAGTTAATCAATGAGCACAACATTGGGTTCGAAAATCCATCCCCTTTGGGCAGATAGATCTCTAGCCCAATAAGCCTCCAATAACTTCATCTACAACCTCATAGAAAATTTGTTCAATGATCATACAGTGGCTTCAGAGATGTGTCCCCTTTAGGCAGACAGATCACCTAAACCAATGCACCTCCATTAACATCATCCCAAATAAATTTACAGTTATAACTCACAATTATCCTCTTTGGGCAGGAAATTGCATGAAATAACCAAAATCATTCCCAAACAAATTTTGTATTTAATCATTTCAAGCGGAAGCATGCATCTTAATAAACAAAAAAAATATTAGAGCAAGCATATAAGGTTTATCACTTTCCCAAAAAAGGATATTTATTACAACAATTTATTTATTTATTTTAAATATATCATATAAGGTTTATCACTTTCCCACAAGTAATATTTGGTGAAAATTAAGTCAGTATTGGGCTCATAAGTGCCTTATGCGCCATAGCCTGTGGATAAGCTTCACTCAAAAAAACCCAAATGGGTCTTCTTTACCACCAAGCAAATCAACCACCGAAAAAATAAGTTGCCTTCATAAATAGCCCTTAATTCTAAACAAAATAGCATCAAAGCTATCATGGATTAATGCTTTTTTTTTATTCATGTTGAATGCAATGTATGTATCCCACGTGGCTACCAAATAACTTTTATTTTAAATTATTCATTTCAAATAATTTCAAACTAAATATAAAAACACCAATTGTAATGTATTTATTTTTATTCAAATATTTTCACTAACCCACAAATATGAAATATATCTTAAAGCCTTTCAATCAATTCCATCAAAGGTGTCAAATCAAATAATAATAATAATAATATTTGTTTAAACATAAACATGCAAAGGACATACTGATTGTTCAACAAGCTCGTAACAGTATTTATAAAATCTCACAATTTTTTTTACAAATAATTGTGAAGATAATAGCACCGAACGTCATTCTTTTTCAACTAAAAGAAAATTACTTTTTTTTAGAAGAACTATTCGATTAGAAAATAATATATTTGGATAAATTGAATCCCAAAACAGTCGTCATGTTCAATTTTAAATAATTAGGTTCTAATTCATATAATTTAGGCTCTGATACCAAGTGTAAGAAATTTGATAAAGTGGATTATATGACATCAGCACATCAAAAGATTTAGACTTACTTGTTGAAGACATGGTTCTTGATTTTTTGAAGAGTTCTTGTTTCCTCTGATGCTCCTTCAATGGAAAGACTAGGATCTTTCTCTGCAATTCACACCACTCCTTGATCACAACGATGGGACAAGTTGTGGAGTG